ATTTTTCCTCTCCCTTTTGTTGTATAATGTTTGCAATTGGTTTTCAATTTAGATGACAGGAATAATTTGTTTCTTGATGGTTTAGTCGACACTGTCTATGACACAGGTACCTTCTTGGGTGGAGGTAAAGAGATGATTGAGTACTTTTTCAGATTATTGTAATGATCTTTTGTTTTAGTCAGTTTTAGTAATTTCTTCATAAAAGTCATTTTATTTTCAGATTTATTATAAATTTACACCTTACATTTTCTTATTTTTATGCGCATCCACACCTACAACTTCTAGTTCCCTGTTTATCCCTGTTGTCACTCCTCCCCAAGCCCGCAAACAGGTAACCACAGTTAGTGGTTTCTTAGGTATTCTTCCAGACCTGCTTTACACATAAAATAAAATGAATATATGTTATTTCTCTCCATTTTTCACAAAAGGTAACATATGCTACACATTGTACATTCAGCATTCATTTTCACAGCTACAGTATTTTCCATTGCAAATATGTATTTTCCAGTATTTTCCATTACCAAATATATCTGACCAGTCTCCCAGTGATTACATGTGGGTTGTTTCCCAACTTTCAGTTCAGACTATGGTGGTGTTTCACTGGGTTTGTAGACTAAACCGTCACATACCAGATTGAGGGAAGGCCACTTGTTATGTTGCTAAGTGTTGCCAAATTGCCCTCCGCAGAGGCAGTAGAGTTTGCATTCAACTGGTAAAGAAGGAAAAGGGCCCATTCTCCCCAGGGAACTTATATCAAATCTGTATCAAAATCAAATAAATTTTTCCTAATCTAATCAGAAATTCTAAAAAAATTATTGTTTGAGCCAAGTTTATTGAAACTTCTTTTATTTTTACATATTTAGGGGGTATAGTGGTGATATCTGGGCTTGAAGTGTACCCATCACCTGAAAAGTGTACATTATACCCAGTAGGTAATTTTTCTACTCTCACTTCTCTCCCACCTTTGGCATTTCCTTCAATGTCTATTTTTCCATTCTGTATGACCACACGTACCCACAACTTAGCTCCCACTTTTAAGTGAGAACGTGGTTTTTGATTTTCCCTTCCTAAGTTACTTTGCTTAGGATAACAGCCTCCATTTCCATCCCATGTTGCTGCAAAAGACATTTCATTCTTTTTTGTGGCTGAGTAGTAATATGTATATACCACATTTTCTTTATTCACTCATTGGTTGATGAACAGTTAATTAATTCCATATCTTTGCTATTGTGAATTGTATTGCAACAAACATACTAGCGCAGGTATCCTTTTGATATAATGACTTCTTTTCCTTTGGGTAGATACCCAGTAGTGGGATTGCTGGGTCGAATGGTAGAACTCCTTTTGGTTCTTTGAGAAATCTCTTGAAGTATAATATATATGCAAGAAATTCACCCATTTTACTGTACAGTACACAGTGTAATTGTAATTTACATTTCTTTTATTATAAGCACGATGTGTTATTTTTATAATCACAAGAAGATTTTTAAACCCCAAAATGTAATGAATACAATGTTTAAATAAGACTGTCCAATTTGCACATTCTTATTTCTTTCACACTCAGCAAATTTCACCCTTTTTTCATCCTTTGGCAAATTCAGAGCACACAGTGCAACACAAAATGATTTTTCAAAATGTGTTCCTGCCAATTTTGGAGAAGCACAGCAAGACAAATTGACTGTCAAGATGGAAAAGCTTAACTGGGAAGATACATTTATTGAATAATTGAAAGGAAGAGGAAATGCATTACTGATTAGCCATAAAAATGCACGACGCCTAATCTGTGCCTCAAGAGACATGTAAATGGGGAGTCATAAAACTCTATCAGCCCCCAAAGTTCTTAGCAGCCCTCAAACCTGTCACTGCCTTGCTTACAGGTTGTAGTACCAGAGCCCCAGTGGACTGATGGGCTTTCAGGGTTAGCTAGAGTGTGGTGTTCTAGCTACTCTTTGTAGCTTTTCTAACCCTTTATACCTTAAAGGCAGTGTAGTTAAGTGTTTTAACTGAATCCTGGATTTACCATTACCTGCTCTGTTTTCGGATTTTTGCTTTTTAGGGGGCAACATAGTGTACATTGGAGAAAAGGCAAGTGATGGTGGCAGCGTTGGGACTTGAACTCAAACGACCTCCAGGAAACAAGTTCCTTAACTTTTCTGGGCTTATTCCCCATCTAGTGAGAGAGGGTTGGACAAGATCTTGCTACTCAAAGTAGGCTGCAAGGTTCAGAACATCGGCATTACCTGGGCGATGCTCAGAAAGGCAGATTCTGGGGCTCCTATCCCAGAGTTATTGAATCCAAATCTGAATTTTAATGAAGTCTTCAGGTGATTTGTTGCACATTAAAGTTTGAGAAGTGCTGGGGTGGGTTCCTGGATTCTGGTCCCATTTCAAAAGTCTGTGCCTTTTAGGTTCCTTCGGTTGTTAATCACAGATGGTTCTGTGTAGATTTGCAGGATTCACTGGAAAATTTTGGTCTTCCCTGTAGCTCTCCTTGCTTGTCAGTGATGGTGGTGACTGCCACAGTCTTCTCATACTCCAGCTGTGGGTAGGTCAGGACTGAGACAGTGGGGCATCACAGAGGTAAGAAAGGCAGCTCCACTGGCCTGCATGGGCCTTGTGAAGGGAGCCAAAGCCTGCAGGATGCCTCCTGCAAACCTGCCTGTGTTGTCCAAACTCATTAAATAACAAGGTTGAAATGGAGTGAAGCTAGATACATGTGGTACTTTACCTATGTGTTTCTAATGGGCTTCCTTACTGGTGTAAGTTCAGATGATATCCTCTGGGTGGTGCCCTTTGGGAAAGGAAGCTTTCTTTTATAAAATGAGGGAAAAACTTTTGTTTGGACGTTGATTTTGGAGAGAGTTTGAATGTAAATTTACCAAGATAGAAAATATTTATTGATTGGTTTATTCTTCACCAGCCCAGTCCAGGGAGAACAGAGGGAATACAAAAGAATAAAATGTGTCCTGCCGTTGTATCAAACATAATAATCCTAAATTAGCTGTCAGCATGGGAAGAGTCCCTGCTCATGTGCACAGAACTTCTCATTGAGTAGGAAGCACGTGATGTTCAGTGCATTTGTGTAATCGCTTGCTGTGGAAATTGTTATGAAAGAAAAATATGGAAAATTTTGTAGAAAAGCTTTGAGAGAGCTACAGACACAGATCCCCTCGCTGTGGTCTCCAAATAAAGGTTCTCCTTCCTCATCTGGGAACTCTTCTGGCTGGATGGGGTCTAAGCCACAATAAGGGGCTTGATGTTCTCTTTTACCCGTGAAATTAGAAACTAAAGTTTTATGAACCTTTATCATAAGCCAAACTCTTCCTAGAAATTTTCCTAAGACAACATCGGACAGAACTATACGTGAGTAGGATGTCAGGAGTCTAGAGTTACTTTTCATGGGGGCCTGAGAATGGGTGCTTTGTCTTTTTGTACCTGAAACGTGTAAAGGAAGCAGATTTCTGTCCATTGTGTCGGTATTGCAGTTCCAGGCTGGTCTCGTAAGGCTTGAAGATAGCCAAGTTGATGTTAGCCAAAAATGTGCTTTGTTTATAAACCCAGGGTTTGTTTCTGCTTTTGTGCATGTTACTGGTTTGATCTGTTTTACCAAAGAACAGTGAAAAGAATGAATTGCTTTGATGCACATTCCAGGGAAGAGAAATGACAAACAAGTGTGTACACACAGAGTACATAAACAGAAATATATAAGCCAGGCACAGTGACACACACATGTCATCCCAGCTACTCAGGAGGCTGAGTCAGGAGGCTCACTTGAGCTGAGAAATTCAAGACTACAGTGAGCTATACTCACACTATGAGTAGCTGCTACACTCTAGCCTGGTCAACATAGTAAGATCCCCTTATCTGAAATAAATAAATAATAATTTTTAAAAAAAACCAGAAATACATAAAAACAAGAAGAATTCCACATATTTTATACACTTATTACAGTAAGACAGGAAAGAAAGTTACCCTCATTTGGGAGAATATTGTAATTTATTCTCTATTTCTAAACTGTGTAGTAATAAAAGAAAAGGATGCATTATTTTACCATAAAAATGTACACAAGAGTACTTCTAAGTGGAGCTTTTTAAAAAAAATTTAATGCTATATTGGTTTTTTATTATTTTGTTTGAGAATTTTATGGAATTTGCCTTAGAGGGTAATCAAATAAGCCATTATACTACATGTGGCATGTAGATCTTTTGACCTTTGGAGGAAATCATATCTTTTAATTCATACAGGAACATACGTTTTCTGTATTTCTTTCATGATTGTAGCATTTTCCAACCAGGCTTAGTCTCAATGTCCAGCATTCACACACACCCCTTGACCTCAGTTGGGTGGGGACCCTCACGTGGTCCAAGGGAAAACCCTTAAAAGCTCTAGTGAGTTGGTTGAAACAAACATGGTTTCAGGTCATATTGGCACCTTTGATCTCACATGTTGCTGGGACTGGCTGGTGAGAATCGGGAAGCCTGCCTTTTGACCATTAGCACTTGCTAAACAAAAAATTATCTGTAAATGTCAAATGTGTCTCTTTGAGCAAAGTGGAAAGGAGGGAGGAAGAGAAGGCCAAGAAAAAACATCTATGTGTCATTAAATAACATTTGCTTCATTTGCTTTTGAAACATTCTCTTTTGTATGTTCAAGGCCTATATTTGGTTTAAAAGGGAAAAATCAACTTGTCAGCTATTGTATCTTAATTATGAGCCAAAAAAGACTGCACAGATTAAGGAAAACATTCATTTTCAGAAAGTGGCCTGGCTGCTTTCTTGAATGCAACCTCCTCTGTCTAGTTGGCCTTTCTCTCCCTCCACCCCTCCCTCAGGGACAATGGCTGCTCCCCATCTGCCATGGACCCCATTCCAGCATGGCATACCTGCACATGGTGTAGACAGGACAAGGCAGGACAGCTGGCGCCGGTGGTGGTGGTGTTGGGACTGTGTCATTCCACACTCACGTTGCCTGTGGCTTTGTCTTTGCTCTCCCCCATGCAGATCCGGAGTTAGGTGTTGGTGCGCTACCTGAACATGACAGCCAGGATGCGGGGCCAATTGTCCCCAAGATATCGGGTCTAGAGAGGAGCCAGGAGAAGAGCCAGGACTGTTGCAAAGAACCGATCTTTGAGCCTGTGGTGCTTAAGGACCCCTGCCCTCAGGTCACGCAGCCGATATCCCAGCCCCAGGTGGAGCCCCAGCTTCGAGCTCCTTCTCCGGACCCTGACTTGGCACCTCGCACAGAGGCCCTGCCTCAGCCCCCACCTCCGAGTGCACAGCCGCCACAGGGCCCCCCAGAGGCCCAGCTCCAGCCCGCCCCGCAGCCGCAGGTGCAGAGGCCACCCAGGCCACAGTCCCCTACCCAGCTGCTCCATCAGAATCTCCCATCCGTGCAGGCCCACCCCTCGTCTCAGAGCCTCTCCCAGCCACTGTCAGCCTACAACAGCAGTAGCTTAAGCCTCAACAGTTTAAGGTGAGCCAGCCTGCTCTTTTGCCTTTTGCCATCTTCCTTGGGACAGGCAGGTAGTAGTGGGTAAGGGATTCCTAAGGAGACTGGAGTTGCCTTGTTGAAAACATACCATTTTTCTCTGAGGCCAAAGACAGGGAAAGGGGTTGTTAGGTGAGGCTCCAGTCCCATGAGAAAGGACAGGTTGGGCTGGGTAGTGAGGACATTGTAAAGAACCAAAATATCTACAGAGACTCCTGAGAGAGGGAAGGCAGGAAGGAGAAAAGTGCTTAAGAAATAGAGTTGGAGGCTCTGGCCAGGGAGCCCCACCACCAGTGGGAGGCGGGAATTGAAGCTAGAAGTACATCAGAGATCACTGAATGTTAAGAGGTTCTTAGGAGGGAGGCTCTTAGTCCCTGAGGGAAGACATTTTAAAGAAAGCTCCATCTTTCTGCAACTCCAAAGGCAGGAAGATTGGGACCCAAGGAGTATTCTGATTTGAAGTTTTTTCATTGCTCCTATGTGGGTCAGAGAGGTAGTACAGAAGAAACGAGCTGTGTTTAGAGAAAGAGAGAAATTTTTGCATGGAAATCCAGACTCTCTTCTGACTTGTTTTTGCCAAGTTACAAAGGAAAGTTTTAAAAGTAGCACAGAGAAAAATGCCAAAGAAAAGTGAAGCAGAAACCCGATGTGCAGGGCCAAGTGGTGCCAGCACTTGGATGTCCCAAAGGTTCTAATTCTAACCCTGCACGTCTCGTGAGGCTTTGTGTCTGTGTTACTGTTCCTTTTGAAAACCTGTTAACTTTGGTGGTTCAGGGAGTTGCTTTTTCCTGTCTGAGACAGGGAAGGAACAGCCTTAGACACTCAGGTTCCTCCCCCAAGGGCCAGGCTCATCTCCTGCCCCCTAGGCCATGTCTATGGCCTCCAGACCATAATGGTGAAAAGAGAAGCCAGACACCTGGGGTGACCTCAGATCGTGGTTTCTATTTCCTTTTTGTTAATTTTATTGGTTTATAGGCAATGTAGCTAGTGGAGGGTGAGAAGGGTGGGGACTTCATAGGGGCAGAGATGATAATCTGGCCCTGACTTTTAGGCAGAATCAGTTGTCACAGTGACATGTCCCCCGGCTCTGTCATAGTGATGGGAAGGTTCACAGGAGCCCTAATTCAGAAAGCTGCTTGTGTACTGGGAGGATCTGTAAAGAGGAAGGGACAAGGGAGAACCTGTGGTAGCTTTGGGGAAGGAGATAAGATTTTTTTGCAGAAAATAAATTGCTCACTTCTTTTTTGTTTTGTTTTGTTTTCTTTTTTCCTTACTCCACAGCAGTAGCAGAAGCAGCACTCCAGCGAAGACTCAACCTGCCCCTCCTCACCTCTCCCACCACCCCTCCGCCTCCCCGTTCCCCCTCTCCCTGCCCAACCACAGCCCCCTGCACAGCTTCACACCCACCCTCCAGCCCCCTGCACACTCACATCACCCCAATATGTTTGCCCCTCCCACTGCTTTGCCTCCTCCACCGCCACTGACATCAGGGAGTCTGCAGGTCCCCGGACACCCGGCCGGGAGCACTTACTCAGGTAGGATGGAGGCGCCTGGGCCTGCCTACCTGTGTGCCCACTGTCCCTCGCTGGTGACCTACTATCTGTGTTGTTCCCGGTGGCAGGGTTGTATTTGCTTACAATTTTCTGCTTTCTTGTATTCATCCTCAAATCCTCTGTGGGCGGAGGCTCAGCACAAATACTTGTCACCACCCAGAGTAACCTAGCACAACCCCAGGGAATCGGACACTGCCCAAAGAGAATGGGTTTGTTTGAAGCTAGGAGGTTTTTCCAACTAAGCTCACCCACTGAGTGGTAAAACACAGATGGTCTGTGCCCTGTCATCGGGACTCCCATGGGAGTGGTAAAAGCTTTCCCAGCCACCCCCCTCTGTTTCCCTGCATGATCTTAAATTGTGTCCTGTTTGAGGGATTTATTTTTGTTGAGTAGGACCCTCTACTTTCTTCTTGAGAGGAGACGATGCACTCTTTGTGACAGTATATCTCAGAATTTCAAGGACATACCCGGGATTAGATATCAGGTCCTTTGCTTCTCACCTGTACTAATGAGGTGTCCCAATTATTGGTCCAGTGTAGCCATGATATACTGTTAATACAGAGAGCTGTAAAGCAGTAGTTGGTGCTTAAAGAGGGCACAAAAGCCCTGCTGTGTAGACAGCTGACATTTATTAGAATGCCATTGCTGTTCTTTAAGCACTTAAATGTGCTCATTCCTTTAACGCCCCAGAACAGACTCACAGGGAATAGTTATTGTCCTCTTCTTACAGATGAGGAAACCAACCCACAGCTGGGTCACCTGCCATGCCCAGAGTCACTCAGCTTGCAGTAACAGAGCTGGCAATTGGGCTCTGGCTGTTGGCCTGGAGTTCTTTCAGCTCCACACATTGATAAACTGCCTGTCCCTGAAAGCTAAGATGCTAGCTAGAGAGCAGGGAGGCTGGGTCCCCATGGGCCCTTCATCTCCTGCTTCATTGGTTGTCCGCTTTGATCTCAGGGCCTTGCTGCACCCTTAGCCCCCACCTACCGTGTCCTCAGCCCTGCATTCCCCCATAGGAAGGCACTTGGATGTCCTGTTCTGAAGGAAAAGGTGTCACCGCCTCCCTTTTCTTCTTTTCCAGAGCAAGACATCTTGCGACAGGAACTGAACACACGTTTTCTGGCCTCTCAGAGTGCTGACCGCGGGGCTTCCCTCGGCCCTCCGCCCTACCTGCGGACCGAGTTCCATCAGCACCAGCACCAGCACCAGCACACGCACCAGCACACACACCAGCACACCTTCACGCCGTTCCCCCACGCCATCCCACCCACTGCCATCATGCCGACGCCAGCACCTCCCATGGTGCGTACCCCAGGCAGAAATGTGAGGATAAGTAGAGCACGACTCTTTTCTTTATGCAGCACGGTGGGATTGGAGTGGGCAGCTGGGGCCACAGGAGACTGGGTGGGAGCGATGGCTGTTTGCTGGAGAAAAGGGACTATGTCCGACCTCAGGCAGCTCTAACTGTAGGGGCCTAACGTAGGAATGTTTTTCTAGATAGTTGTATCTAGCACTGTGGGTGGATTTTATTCTAAATGCCCTCCAAACAGTCATGTTCAGTGTTGGTAGTTAACTTCTTAAAGCTCGTTTTATTTTCTTGAGCATCCTAGGGCATTATCACCAGATAAAAAATGTCTCTGCTTATGTTTTGCACTAAGTGCTGGCACAGAAATGCTTACAGAATATTGGGGGTGAGGAAGAGAGAAGGGGAGGAGGTGAGGCCTGTCGGGAGGCTTTCACATGGTTTCCCTACGCCTGCTTGTTAGCAGTGTTATATTTCTTGCATTTCATAAGACAGTGTCCCACACTGGTGTTGTGCTCTGTCAGCAAGTGGTCAGGGATGGGTCCCTGCTCTCTGTAGGACAGAACTCTACCTTGGGATAAGAGGTGCCTCTGGTGATGGCATGCCCTTGGTCTTAACTGGAGATTAGCACATGCTAGAGAACCAGTTAGGATTTTTTTTTTTAAATCAAAAACTGTAATTAAGAGTGCCATGTTAGAATGCTATCTATTCTAAGATATCTCTAGCAGTGAGTATTAGAATATTTTACTTGTTTAATTTTTAATATTTAAGGAAATACTTGATTTTAAGGCAATTAATATAGGCATTATGAGAATAAATTTGTATTCCATGATTTTTTTTTAATCTCAGAAAGGTCCTGGATGCATTCTGACTTTAAGAGGAATTTCCTTTACTCAACTGGAAAAGCTGCCTCTACTTCTTTCCCCTCCCATCCCCTATCTTGCTCAACTTAATTTTTTAAAAAATATTTTTAAAGTTTTATAAATTTTATTTCAAGGAGTATTAGTGATGAGGCCTTACAATCCAAAATCATTTTTTATGGCAAATCCAGTATTTTTTTTCCAGATGACCTATACTTCTTAACAGTTACATTTTGAAGGGCCTCGTATTATGAAAAGGAATTTTATGCTGGCCTTTGTGAACTATTTCACAAATAAATTAAATCTGACTGAGGGGTAGTTACTGAGGTAGTTATAGCACCAGTGTGGTAACATTATTTAGAAGAAACAATTATTTAGAGGGAACAATACTATACTCTTTCTGTTCAAAAGTAAGACTGCGCAGCCTAGCCCAGATTGCTTGGTATTTGAGGGTATAACATACTTCAGAAGACAGCTGAATGCATGATTTTTTCTGCCCAAGTAAAGATGAAAATAGGGGGAATTCTCTGTACAAATCGGACCAAATGCTCACTTCTCTCTGATTTATCTGGATAATTACCCATTTTCTCCAGTTTAGATATTTGGTTTGTGCCAGTCTCTTATTATAGAGTAGAAAGAAAGGCATAATAGTTTGTCCAGGACCCAAATGTACCATATGGGTTTCCATTTTTGTTGGTTTCTTGTCAGGGTGACTCAGAAGCTCCAAATAGTTTATACAAATGAGGTTATTGAGTCTGATGACAGCTTAATGACAGAGAAGCTTGTTTAGGGCTATCTCCACTTAAGCAGTGAACAAAAATGCAGATTAAATAACTAGCTTTTGCTTTGATCCCTTTACAGTTTGACAAATACCCTACAAAAGTTGACCCATTCTACCGGCACAGTGTGAGTTTTATTACCATGCTACACATTTAATGTAACTGCTTTTCCATTTTTGTGCTCTTGCCACAGATCAGTAATTAACTAGCAGCCTTCCTTAATCATCTTTGCAAGAGTTCCCATTGCTCCTTGTCACTTTGGATGCTTGCTTTTGTGGCGTTTTGCTTTTGGTAAAGATGCAGTATCATCTTCTGAATCAAAAGATCATAAGCACTCCAAAGACTGCTCAGTTGAGCTTCATTGGAAGTCAGACGTGTCCTGCAAAGTGAAGTGTCTGCAGTTGAGTTATTATAGTTTCTAGAGAGTCTGAAATCACAAGATTTCAGTCATCAATTGAAATGCCATTAACAGAGAATTCCTGAAATTCAACTTGAATTATTTCCCCTAAATAGTAATAGAAAGTCCCTTGTCTTTTTGACTCTCAACTCTTCAAAATGTAGATTTTCATCTGCTCTAGACATATACCTTCTTCCATGTGGCTGCTATTATTCTCCTGAGCTTGTTATGATCAAAAATTAATTTAAAAAACTCTTAAAATTGAAATGGGTGCTATTTTTTCTCTTTAAACTCAGTTTGTATTTTTAAAAAATTTATTTTCTGCAATTTTAAGAGTATATTCTGGAACTCAAATTGATACCAACTTAAGTTACATGTTTAGTTACTTATAAGATAAGAGCTTCCTTTTCTACAAAGACCTTGAATATTTTACCATGATATTTTGATTATGGGGTGAATACTGCATCATTTTTATATGAAAATTTGCAAGTTTCTTTGCTTAGTAGTTTATTTTTTAATGAAACCAGAAAAAAAGGGAAGATTAATAATTGCTTGTCATGTTGATTCACCATCTTCAACTATTCTTGCTTTGATTTTTAAATAGTGTTAATCTTACCGTTTGAATAGAAGTGCTACTTCAATAGATCAGCAAAGACTGAATTCATTCATACTTTGAACCAGATAATTAGACACTATATTAGTTGGGAGTGTAGCTGAGAAGTGAAGACTAGAAAATATTAAAAATCAATTAAGAATTATTTACTCTAGAGGCATTCAGAAATAATATAAGGAAGGCCTCTTCAAAAAGAAATCAGAAAAGTGTATTTTAGTGACAACCCACCTCCCCAATAGGGTCCACCCTGTTCTGCTCAGTGCTTTAATATAAAAACATTTTTTAAATGGACATACAAAATTCAGTAGCCCCATGGGTTTCCTCTTTGAGTCTGTCCCATTAAAGGTACATTCTGCTCTCAGTCTATACTTTGCTGGCTTACATTAAGGAGCAGCTAACAAAATCATTCTTATGGAGTATTTAGTGTGTTCAACAAGTGTCTCAGATTTACTTCCTAGGACCAAATGGAGTGCCTTTTTATGTACATATTTTACAGAGAGTCCTAGGTTTAAGATGGAGAATAAGCCTGGAGGCCTGAATTTTTTGAAGATTTATGTTTTTTGTTGATTTTTTTTTTAAGACAGAGTCTCACTCTGTTGCCCCGGCTAGAGTGCTGTGGCGTCAGCCTAGCTCACAGCAACCTCAGATTCCTGGGCTCGAACAATCCTTCTTCCTCAGCCTCCCAAGTAGCTGGACTACAGGCATGCACCACCATACCTGGCTGTTTTTTATGTATATTTTTAGTTGCCCAATTAATTTGTTTCTATTTATAGTAGAGACAGGTTCTCACTCTTGCTCAGGCTGGTTTCAAACTCCTGACCTGGAGCGATCCGCCCACCTTGTCCTCCCAGAATGCAAGGATTACAGGCGTAAGCCACTGCGCCCGGCCGAAGACTTATGTTTTATTACTTAGATGCTTCAGATTTTTAGTCAAGGGGAGAATAGTCAACTATATTTATATTCTAAGAGGTCAGTGACAGAATAAAGCAAAAGAAAAGTGCTAAAAACATCTAGTTTTTTCATTGTAAACATTAAAGGAAAAATGCCCACCTGGAGACAGAGTAATGGAAATTTGAGTGTGTTTTAGTGTGGCATGTATTTAATTACTCTGCTTTATACAGTGTACTGTGAGAGAGTTATTTCACATTATTAGTTATAGTGGATAATATACGAAGTACTTAGTCTCCCCTGCTTCGGGGATTAGGATGTTATAAGGGGAATTAAGATGCAATGCACTCAAGTATCTAAAACACAATTTTAATCTTAAAAGTAGTTTTAAATGAGGGCACTTGGCTTGCAATCACTGTTTAAGTGGATTTAGTTCAATATCAATTAGTCTGAAAAAGTTTGCCGCATCATTGAAGGGAGCAAAATGAAATAAAGACCAACAGAAAAAGTATGTGCTCTGAGAACAGACAGGAATGTGAAATGCGAATTTTAGTCATTGCCAAAAATAGCTAATAACATAAATGCATTATTAAGAAAATCTTCAATTATTATTGTATTTTTGACATATTACACAACCATGAGGGTGGGGTGTTACTTAAATATTAATAGGATGGTTTGATCAAAGTAAATGGAACCAGAACAATAAAATCTCAGAAATAGGAAATTTTTAGAAGGAGGGAAAGATGTGTTTGCATTGTCTTCAGTATTGCTGTATATTTCTTTCCTCACTTGTCTCCTTTATAAACTATTGATTCAAGAAAATTCATATTCATCATTCAGAATCATTCTCCTCCCATTATTGAGTGGACTGACACTCAAGTTTGGCTTGAGTCGCCTCTAGTGAGCTTGTTCATTAAACAGCAGATATAACTGAAAACTAGCCATAAGAATTTGTGCTTCAAATACCTGAAACTGGGAAACAACAAGAGTAACTTAAAACTAGATGGTTTATCCCAGACTATTTCTATGTTACTTTAATCCATCTTCTGGAAAAGTTGGCAGCTCCATTTAAAGTGTACACTGAGTCATTTTATTTTCACAAATATTTCACATTTCATATTTCATATTTAGTTGAGAAAATTAAATTGTACTCTGGAACTGCCACTTCTAGAACAGCCTAATGAAGCAAGGATTGTGAATATGTTCTCATTTCCTCAAACTATTAAAAATCTAAAAGTACTAATTGAGTTTTAATGATATAAAATCCTGGCAGTCATAAAGACTAGCCTCTTTTTCTTCCTTTTTTTTTTTCCTTTTTCTGCCTTTTTTTTTTTTTTTCCTCTTTTCTAATTAACTTGCAATTTTCTGGGCATCTTATTTGGCTCAGCATCCCTCCTGTTTTTAAAATGCATTAAAATCTCCAACCATTTAGGACTTCTATCCGATTTAACAATTAATAATTAGAACAGCTCCCTTTCTAATGATGTCCTCATCTGGGACATCATTTGTTGGCTGATTGATTCTGAACTACTTTTAACTTTTTCAGTTAAACATTCATGGCACATCTGTGTGATCATTTCATCATGGCTTCTTGACTAATAGCATCAAACTGAGATGACTTGGCTTGCTAATATTGATGTCTTTCTATGGGAAGGGAATTTGAATATGTCACTTACCTTCTACTAAAATCTTTTTCCCCCTCCGTCTTTGGCCACAGCTCTTCCATTCCTATCCTCCTGCAGTGTCGGGCATCCCGCCTATGATTCCCCCCACTGGCCCTTTCGGTTCACTACAAGGAGCATTTCAGCCGAAGGTAAGACACCTGACAGTGAAACACATGGGCATGTTTATAAGCAGAGTCCCAGACTAGGCGTGCAGAGGGGTTCTGCAGCCCTTACCTGCACAGCGACTGATTTGTCAGATCCCAAGTGACCGTTGCGATTAGAGTGAGGATATGCTTTTCTAGTCTATCTAGTTTTTTAACTTCAGCAAAAATTTACTTTTCCATGTTTACTACCCATGGAATCTTAGTTAGGCTAAGATAGCCTGTGCTCTTTAAAATATACAGAATATATATTTTTTCACTACTAATATTGTGGACATAAGCTTCTAGTCAGAAATTCTGGGAAATGCCAGACACGTGTGCACCAGGTTGTCATTGAGGTATTAGCAAAGATGCAAAAGTGAATTTCATTGATTTTAGTAGAAGGGGGGGATAAAGTTTCCAAAACTAAAATTGTATCCTGTTAATTGTGTCAGAGGTCTGCCTGCAGGCGGAGGCAGCTGCCTGCCTTTCTGTACTCATTTCTCCCTCTCTTCAAGGTCAAGACTTTGCATCAGTTTGTAACATACTAGTGTGAAATTAACCTTTAACCCTTTATAATAACAAAATTCCGCTCTACCTAGTCAGTGATATGCTGTTCAACTTGGGCTACAAGTTACCTCTCAAGGTCAATAGTGAAAAGTAATTCTCAGAACCACTCTACCTTTTAAAAATCTACTACAGCCCTTACTAAAAAAAAAAAAAAATGAGATGTACCTCTCATGTTGATCATGGTTCTCAGATTTTAAAGTAAGGTATTTTGCTATGTGTGGATTTTGGTTTCCCCACCCTACCCCCCAAATCTCATTTCTGAGGTAAAAACACCAGTTTTGTGCCAGAGTCTCCCAGGATGAACACATATTGCATTTCCAAAGGCATGTTGCCTTCAAACTATTAACAGGGAAAGAAATTAAAAGGCATTAGGGATGGGATGGCCACACCCTCGAAATCAAATTTACCTTCTTGGAATTGCGGCTTATGTGCAAGGTTATATATACGCAGGGTTTTTATGATGGCCATGTTAAATACCTCCTGTACGGAGTTAAAATGATGGTAATTTTAAAACTCTTTCACCCCAATCTGCTCTTCACTAATCCCTCAGACCCTGATCTGTCCCCTCTAGGTTGCAGCAAATCTCTAGTGCCTCCCCAAACAGACTGGTAGGTCATTTAATAAATTAGACCATTTCCCTCACTCGCAATTATCCAATCACACAGAAACTACATCTGGGCAAGAAAGTGTCTCTCCTGGTGTTGAAATAGGCCTTTCCAGGCCATCTTACTGATTGAATATGTAGATTGCAGTTCATTAGTGGAGTTCTTCATATGTATGCAAATCAGGCTGTTAACAACTCCAGCTTAATTGTTAGTTGTACTGCAGCTGATTGCTTTTCTTTCTTTCCTTCCTTTTTTCCCCTTCTCCTGGTAGACAAGCTTCGTGCCTAAACTTGAGCTCTTTTTTCCACAGGAGTTAACTTCCTGCTGTGGGGGGATTCATGGAAGTTGTGATTTCTTAAATAAAATAACTGGTGGTGTTTTCTGAATCCCTTCCCACTAGAAAGTAGTGACGGCGCCGGAAGTGGGCTTTTTATTGTTGGTAATTCAAAGGACAGAAGCCTACAGATAAAGTTAATATTAGTGACATTTAAGAATAGGGGGTGGGAATAGGAAAGACAAAGCAGAATTACTCTGGAAATCATTTAATAGTAGATCTGTGTGGTCCCTAAATTAGTTTCCCTTGTCCCATTTCCATCACTGCTAATGAGTAATTACTGAGTATAATTCCTTGTTATTGTGTGCCAGTTAAAATTTAGAGAGTTAGCTTAATGTCTGTAAAATACTTTGTTATTCTGATGAGAAGCACCTGATACTGCAAATTATAATAATGTTCACTTAAGCATTTCTTAGAATGTTTTGTGATCAAGCCAGGAAACAAGGACAGTCACTGCTGCTGCTTAATTCAGAAGATGAGAGGTTTCAGGGGCAGCATTTGCATGTGTTGCTTCTCTTTTTGAGTCCTGTGCTTTTGGTTGTGAAATGTGCTGGACCGTGTGGTCGTTGCTAAAGAGAGTAATCTCTGGTCAGAGCCCCTTGAGAAAATAGGGAGCTGGTTCTCAGGAGGACCATGTATAGTCACTGCGAAAATGAAGCTTATATTTCAGAGTGAAACAAATAAAATTTCACTTTTAGAATTTAGAAGGAAGGAAAGATCTTGCTTTTGTGTCACATGTTTTGTGCTTCCTAAGCTGTGGTTTAATTAATTTGTAGACATCCAACCCTATCGATGTCGCTGCTCGGCCTGGGACAGTCCCACACACTTTACTTCAAAAGGACCCAAGGGTACGTGCAAAGTCAGGCTTGGTCTCAGGTAACACCAGGGTGTGTGTGTTTGCACGGGACAGCCAATCCAGTGCTTGCACCTTCGTTAGCTCCTTGGAGTCACCTGCTGTTTCAGCTGTTCCTTCTAGTTTGTAGAAGAAAGTGCCAGTTACTCTTACAAAACAAAATCTCTCCTACACCACTGCAGCCCTGTAATGCAAGGGGACTGACTTGCCAGTGGGAGAAAAAAGGGACTTACGGTCTGAGCCCAGAAATTGGACACTTTTAGCCTGTATAGTTTCTACTTGACCAGTCTTCTCTGTCTATATCTCCTGAAGTTTCTCTCATACAAATGAAATAGCTGCAGAATATATTGAATGGAAAAGCACTAAGCCTTTTCTTCCTGGAAGTCAGGCTGCATCTTGCCAGGGTTCAGGAAGTTACTATAGCACACAGCTCCTCTGGCCCTCTATTTTTAATGTGGTAGGGATCCTTTTGTGCTCTGGAGCTAAATAAAATATCCATTATGCTTTGGTTATGCTATTTATTCATAATTTATACCACTTCCTACTTTGAAAAAAGAATTTGAAGTTATATGATAGATATAATCTTGTCTCAATGATTCTTAACATTCATCTCTATAGTAAATGTGAAGAAATGATTATCTTTTTACAATTTTGTCTTCTTCCCTGGGTAAGGGCAGTCAGAAAATGATAAACAAAGTAGGTAGAAGTTTAAGATGACTCAACTATCTAAGTATTTTACAATGTATAGTGAACTTCTTAAAAATGTCTAATACCTATAATATACAGTCATCAAAGGAAGGCTGTTGGTAAAGACAGCTTAATTCTACCTTATGTCTGAGAAGGGCAACCCTCCCAGATACCCTTTTGTGTCCAGCCTTAGAAGTCTATGGTCTGAAGGCCATTCTCCCTTAGATTTATCCAGTGTGGTTCGGAGATCAAGATAGTGAAACTCCTGATGTATAATGTGAGCAAGTCACGTTGCCAGAGGGCACATCGCTATTGATTAAACTTGTACAGGGGCTTGTCAGCCTGGATGTACCGAGGCTTGTGAAGTGGGGGAGGGGACTCTTGGCACTTTTGATAGTGTGAAAATGGGTTAATTATTCTCTAAAAGGGCTTCATTTAAAAGTAAAATTCTAACATTTTAATTTCCCCTCCTAATGAAGCACTACAAATTTGTTAATTAGAGCAATTGTTTGAGTGACAGGCGTGTAACCAAGTTGTCATTTTCTCTTCACAGTTGACAGATCCTTTCAGACCTATGTTAAGGGTAAGAAAGCTTCTTCTAGAACTGTTTTGCAACCTCTATTTGACTCCCTGTGGGTTAAAAATACAAGTCTGTTACAAGGAAATAAGCCATAGAAATGCTGGAATAAAATGTTTGGACGACAGTCCTTGGGTTTTTCAGGTAGTGTGGTCAAAAATGGCCTAATTTGTTTTACTTTGAGTGTTGGAGGAAGCCTGGCCCGTTGGCTTTTGTATAACAGATAGAATTCAGCTGAGTCAGATTCTTTTGTTAGCAGTTCTGGTAAAAGGTTTGACTAGTTGGAACTTTAGGGGAGAGACTTAAGGTATAGGCTGCAATTAGTCTCTTTCATGCTTAGAAAATACATATTTGGGTCATATTTTGGCTGGTGACCTCCTCATTCTGCACTAAGTAATAGCTATTTGCCATAGCTGTTCTACCTATTTCTAAGGTGCAGGCAATGGAATACTGTAAGCATTGGTGTGTTAACATCTGGCTTAAAGCAAATTGGTCTTGAGGTCTAGAGAGTGGCCAGCAGATGACCTCTGAATTCTGCAGACTTACCTGGTGGGTGGCAGAGGGAGACAGATGATGGATTGTTGGATGGAAGATGGATGGACAGTAGATTTCCTGCTATACTTAACTCATTTCTGGTGCATATAATCAGATAATTTGATTTCTCCAAAGGGAAAAAGGAGGATTGTGTCATCACTTAGGTGAGGCAGTATATTATTTGTAATTTCAAATGACCCATAATTTCATTACAAAACAAGAGAACTGACCCCAGACTTGCATTTAAGTATATATTTCAGAAACAGCTCTTTACTGTAGAAACCAGAAGCACTGTCTTTTGCTGTTGTAGAAAGGGATATGTTTTCTTCTCATCCATCCAGTAGTTACTGAGCATGTACTCTGAGCTTATGGGTAGATCAGTTTGCAGGAATGAAGTAGAGAGAGGTGGTTCCTACTCCCTAGCTGGTAGAAGAGAATATACTCGCAGTTACTCCACTGCTTATAAAGCAAGTAAAATAATTTGAGAGATATGGATTGATATAGATTCCCCAAAGGTGGAGGAGGGAGGGACTTTGCAAAGGCCTTAGAGAGTTAGGAAGGGATGAGTTCTTTTCTTCCTTTTCTTTTTTCTTCTTTTTTTTTTTTAACTTAAAAATGAACAGTGCCCAGCAACATGAATGGGTGGTTGACTCTTAGCATTTTTGGAAACTGGGCTTAAATAAAAATGTGGTGAGTGTCTCTGTACCGCTTTGTGGGTTAAAAAAACAAACAACAGGCTTGAGGGAGGTTAGGACAGGTTCTGTCCCCTTTCTTGTTTTGATTTTATTCACTGACATCCACTAATTAGCTCTTCTGAACAGCTGATTTGCATTATAGTATGGCAGCATTTGTTAAGTAGGGTTTCCTACTCTACCAGGTCTGCCAGCTGGCTCCAGAAAAGAGAGAGAGAAGAGACACAAAGTGGGATTCAGGCTTTAACCATCTTGTCCTTGGTAACTGGGGAGGTCCTTGTCAAGTACGGTTGTCTGAGTAGCAGCCCACGTGGGAAGAGAAGGGAGCTGTGACTGCCTTATGACTGGGCGCTGAATCGCTGATGTTGGAAGGCACTTGGAGAGTACAAAGCACGCCTGTTTCATGAGAAAAGCCTCTGCAGCCAAAACTCTGCGGAAAGCTTTGGGGAAATTGAAGGTGGTTTTCTCTGAAATGTCTTCCTTCTGACCATGTTGTTCTTTCTTGTTCCAGAAACCAGGGAAGTGGTGTGCTATGCATGTTCATATCGCCTGGCAGATCTACCACCACCAACAGAAAGTCAAGGTCAGTCCGACCTTCCTGGTTTCAGGAGGAGGGGGCAAGGCATGCAACTGTGTGGTCTGATCCAGAGAAGCTGATGAAGGAGGCATTCAAAACAGATGCTCAGGACAGTAGTCAGGAAGGATCAAGCCCCTCTTGGAAAAGCCACTGGGAAGTCTTAGTAGTAATCAGGGAGACCCCAGTACAGTTACAAAACAAAAGCAAACTGACAACTCCCTAGTGTTCTTTTTTTCTTTTGTATGATTTTATCATCTTAGTGATCCAAAGGGCTTAAATATGGATTAAGTAAAGGTTTTGGAAATATAATTATAGTGACCAAGAATTAGAATATAGAAATTCTTAGTATCTGGAAAGAGTTGTAAATGAATGTTGGTTTGTTTTTTTAATAACAATTGGCACATTCATTTTATTTTATGGCTTTGGAAAAATGAAAGAGTAATTTATGCCCTATACAAAGTTGCTGCTCAACTTGCATTCAATGGTTGTTATTAAAAACTACTCTTCTGGAAGTGGCATTTGGTTTGCAGTGACCTTCCATTGGTCTCCTCATGCCCAGTTCCAGGGTGTTAGAATACAGTCAGTACTTGCCAGAACCACCTTCTGGCCGGTTACCTTACCCAACTGTAGGTGACTTTTTTGTTTATATTTTCCTCACACAGACTAATATATTCTATGCTTTATTAAAACTTTTATGACACAATAGGGAAGAGATCAAGAACTTCAACAAGTGACCTGATATAACATCAGTGCTTGACTTAGGGAACAAAGTAACTGACAAGTCCAGATTATACAGTCTGTGTAACTATGCCTGAAGAAATGGGAGAAAACAAGCAATCAAGTAATTGGTTAAGAAAGCTTAAGCTTCACTTCCTCCATTTCTCCATGAGCTAGCTTTTAGTCCTGACAGCATTTGGGAGCCAATACAATAGTAGTATAAGATGTCAATAAGCCAGGAGAGAGCACTATTCATCACAGAAGGAAAATGTTTTTAAAAAGGTTAAATGATTTTTAAAATAAAACAACCCAAGTTCCAGCCACTCTGGAGGCTGAAGAAAGGAGGATCCCTTGAGCCCAGGAGTTGAGTCCAGCCTGAGTGATGTAAGAGACCCTGTTTGTAAAAAAAAAAAAAAAAAGAAAGAAAGAAAACTCACTTAAAGGTTAAGCAAACCTCAATAAATGAGGCAACTAAGATATTTTACTTTGGTTGCCAAATACCTGTTCTTTCTCATAACATCCCATCGGTGAGTTTTGCTCACTTTTACTTTATTGTTAGGTGAGGTTTAATTAGAATCCTTATGGTTTAGCTTTGTTAGAAAATGTATGTGTTGTGAAGAGCTAACTAGGTTTTGATGATTAGTCCAATTCACTTTTTGTTCTGGATGATGTGGTTAGCGGAACAGTAGGTAAAACATGTCTTCCTTGTAACTCATTTGGTTAAAAGCAGTGAAGGATGTTGCATGTACCACTCTAGCAACTTCTTTTCCATAAAAGTGTCCCTGATGACTTAAATTTCCATTATCCCAATTTCAATTAGACCTTTTGAACATGAGCTTAACTCTGTTCATCTCCCCTTTTCAGCAAACTACTTGCAGTCCCCAAGTGCCATTTCACTTCATGGACCTAAGTTGTGGTTAATGGAACTGTGCTGTGTACCATACGATATTAGCACTAAATAATTTGGCAACCAAATTAAAGGAGGTACTCAAGATTTTTATAGATTTATAGTGAATTAGAAGCTTGGTTTTGGGATTTTGCTATTATGGCAGGACTTTAATTATAGCATTCCCTATAGATTTGAGAAGAAATTGCATCACCCCCTCTCTCTTTAACATTCATTTACTTGTTCTTTTAGTCATTCACTCAATATCCATTGAGAGAGCTTGCAGGTTCTTTACTGGGCCAAGCTGAGTGTACTCATCTTTCCTGTCGTCTAGTTCCTTAGAGCTCAGTAGTGAAGATTGTCGTGTACGTAAAAAGTAACATTAGTGCTATATGCTTCCACTTGGGTGCATGGGTGCATTTCAGTTTAAATGTGGGTGATGGATGAGTGGGATGTTGACCTTCAGCGATAAGGGGATGACCAACTTCCCTCCTCTCGACTCTCACACCACACTGTGCCAATCTGTGTCCCTCCTCATCAGCTCTCTCTGTTGTTGAGCAGGGCAAGGATCCCTCAGGACATGAGGTGAGGGAGGGATGGAGCCAAAGGGACAGAGAGTGTCAGATGAGTCCCGGAGACTGAAGGAGTGAGCTTTAGAAGCAGGCTGAGGGCAGTGAAGCTCAGGAGACTGGACAGCAAAGAGGTGACAGTGAGGTCAGGGCAAGTCTGGGCTTCAGATGTCAGACCATGGGAACAGTGCTGCCAGCAAGGTGTGACTCTGGTGCAAAGAGAAGGCTGTCCATAATCAAGGGGGTGGGTGACTTTGAAAGCATGGTGTGGAGAGATCTCTGGCCCAGAGAATGGTGCCGGAGAAGGGATCAAGGGGAGGAATATGGACCAGTTTCTACATCCTTAGAGGAAGGTGAGCGGGAAGGTTTGCCTGAGAGTAGATGAGAAAGAGGAAGCAGCGATTTCAGACACTGGTGAGGACATCACAGAGGAAAGTCTTGGTGGGTTACTGGCTGGACAGATGCCCTCCTCTTCCTCTGCTCATTGGAGGTGGTAGGAAAAGAAAAGGCCTCTGTTAGGTAAATTAATGACCCTACTTTGTTTTTGTTTGGCTCTTTAATATGTAAAAACAATCATTTGAAAATTAACTTGGAGGCATGCAAATATTTCTTCATAACTTTCACTTACTAATGTACTGTGATCTATTAGTGTATAGCAAAGAGTCATTAAACAATTAATTTATATAGAACATTATTCGTGCAGAATTCCTAATAAAATGAGCTTTAAAATACTATTATTTTGAATCTTGCTAAAATGGAGCAAAAGATTAAACTACTACTTTGGGAGTAGTGTAGCGGTTGGAATAAATAGGACATGGTTTTCCTTCTCAAACTATACAACCTCAGAGAGCAGACACTTGTTTTGCCACTTGACATCTCCCGTGAGAAAAGCAGGTACTGCCAGCAGGGGTGGTTGACCGTCTTAGGCTGATCTGCTGTTTGGCACTTGAAGGGTAAGGATGTGTGGATTGGTGCATTCTTGCAGCATTGTAAACTTGAACCTGGCTGGGGCCACAGAGTTTATTCTGTCTGTCTCAGGCTCTTCGTTAATGTCTTTCTTCCCTGCCATTTGTCTTGGGATTTCATCTTCTGCTCTTCCCCTTGCCGCTGTAGAAACAGATGCAGTCGGACCCACATAAGCTGGACTTCGGACTGAAGCCTGAGTTCCTGAGCCGCCCTCCGGGCCCCAGCCTCTTTGGAGCCATCCACCACCCCCATGACCTGGCGCGGCCTTCTACTTTGTTCTCTGCCGCTGGTGAGTTTGGGGAAGGGCAGAGCTAAGAAATGTAGTTTTTTGGTAGCTAAATAAATTATGTTTGGGCTCCGTGCTGCCGCTCAGTCACTACCTAAAAAAGTATAATTTATGCCAGCTTGCAGGGTAACATCAAAGCACATCTAGGGAGATGGACCCTTCTTCATTGATGCGCCCTTTTTCATTGACAAAGGAAAACATGTATCTTTTCCTCACAGGGACTCATATTGCTTTGGCTCCTCATTTGCTTCTGTGTTAAACCAGCATAACTCAGAAGCATGTCAGATGCCATTGGGAAAAAATCAGAAAGCTTACAAGGGCAGATTGGAAGGAAGCCAATACAAGGAACCATACAAGGTTGTTGTATGAACCATGCCAGGAACCATACAAGGTTGTTGCCAGGAACCATACAAGGTTGTGGTTGCCCTCACCGTCGGTGTCTACAGGGAACTCAGTCATTTTGCACCGTGATGCTCAGTCAGGCTGTGTTTTAGGGTCTGAGGATAAAGAAATACAATTACAACACTTGCTGGTTGTGTAGTCTGAGATAATTTCATCTTTTCTAAAGCCTTTTCTAGTGCACAGTCCCTGGCACAGAGCTCTGCCCAGTTAATACTTATACATGATGGCATCGAGCTCATTCTCATAATGAGCTTCATAACTTCATACCGCTATGTTAAGTAGAATTTCCTTTTCTGAGTCAAGGGACTCCCATTTCTGATCCTTAAGGAACAAGTTTCGCATCCATCCTGCCTGCTGCCTGCCCAGCCTTTTATCCAAGACTCACTTTTGGTGGACCTATAGCTCTTCTATTCAGGAAGAGAGAAACAGCTATGTTGCAAGAAATCATCATTTTAATGGGCCTTGTGCCAAAGCAATTGAATCACCCTTGAGGGTAGATAGAATTTACTAAGGTCTCAGGTTTTTCTCTGTCAGTTCTATCTAGGGACATATTTGAAGGCTGTTACCATGGCACCTAGGCTCTGAGACAGGGCTACATTAAGAGCAATTTTTGGAGAAAAATAAAAAGATTTCTCCCTGGCTTCCATTTGAGCCAAGTGGATGAATTGGCTTCTTTTGCTTCAATAATTCTGGAACTACAAGGCACCCCTGGGGACCCTGGGCTGAGCGAAGCTCTGGGCTTCATTGAAGCATTAATTAGCCCATACTACACAGACAGGACGTGGCCACAGTTTTATTTAGCTGCCAACAGTGCTGACGCCTAATGAATGTCATCCTGGAGTATATTCACTTTTTGGAGGTGGGTATCAGTCTCACACTTCCCAGGTGGAGAATAAGCCCCCATTTAGAGCTGGGTAGATAATCCCTCAGGTGCCTTCAAATTCTAAGATACCACAACCATGACAACGTTCCTCCTGTAGCGTGGCGCTTCCTCACAAGCCAGGCCCACGAGACCTGGCAGTCAGGAGCAGCAATCCAAAACATAACTTGAGTTATTATTAATAGGATTGAGAGAGGGACGGCCCTCCTGCATTTCACCTGTTTTCCTAAGGGAGTTTATATTTGTTGATAGGCACTTAGACAAAATGCAATGGATTATGAAACAGTCATTAGAAAATTCATTTATCCAGGGCCTGTTTATACTTCCATTCTGGAAGGTAATCCTTTTTAGAGTAAGCAATGTTGGATTTTGCCCAAAATGGTTATTTGGTAAAACTTTAACTGGTAGGTCTAACTTGCACATACTGGTTAGATTCAGCTGCTTTCATCCTGCTGTTGGGTGCTAACCCCTGCAGTAAACCAAGGCTTCTTCAGATGACTGTGGCAAATGCCTCATCCAGAGCAAAGCCTACCTCCCAGAGAACCTGCCTGCTCAGCTCCTAGCTTTGCATTAAACCAGCATGGTGCCCTAAGCTTTTGGAAATATTGTCCTTTGCTGATTCACGTAAACACACTTTCTTTCTCTCCCTCTTCCCTTCCTTTCTCATCTTCCTTCAAGAAGGCATCTGAGGCATCTTAAACAAATACATATTGGACAAAATACAAAGTAGAGGAGGAAATGTGGATAAAGGGAAAACCAAAAGAAAGAAGACCACTAAGTTAAACCCGAGTTCTCTGGCAAGCAAAACAAAAACTTAGTTATAAGATTTTTAGTGTCCACAAACTTACGAATAAGCCAGGTTTTCCTGGCAATGAAAACTGACAGGCACCAGAGGACTTCATTTCCTGTAACCTAGTGTAACTCACAGCGAGTTTCATAGGGTTAGACCTCGTCATACCAGCAGTGTGGGTGCACAAGCATGAACACACTCTCCAGAAAAGGGGATTGTGTGAGGGCCCAGAGCACTGCAGCCCAGATCTGCAGCGTCAGGACAGCCACTTCAGAGCCAAGGATGATAAAGTGTCTGAATTTGTCCCCTGAGATGCTTCATGAGATGCTTCATGAAGAAAGTATTCCATGACCAAATGTCCCCCTCAGAGAATGAATAAGCTATAAGCATATTAATGGCTCCAAGGAGTCCTTCAGTAAAGAACCTTGCTTAACAGTTTTTAATCCAGTATTTCTCCAAACTTAATTTGGTTAGTTATAGGCCCTCCCTACCCCCACCCCTGGCAATTATCTCCATGTTGATAATACTATGTGTCATTTGCTTAAAAAAGGAACATCTCTTTTTGGTGGTTGGCCAGCCACGCTGGGAAAGAGAAAAGGTGGTGATTTATTTTCTTCTTCTCAACAAAAACATTTTCTCTACCTGATGTCTTGCCAGCAGGGCACTGTGTACGCCTAAGCCAGGACCTTACTTTAACATACTTTCTCTTGGGGCACTTAAACAACAGGAGCTAGTTGCTTTCCAGAAGTAGGCTGTTGGTAAAATCTGATTTTGTTATGTTTGACTCAATAGGTGCTGCACACCCGTCTGGGACTCCTTTCGGGCCACCTCCTCACCACAGCAACTTCCTTAACCCTGCCGCTCACCTTGGTGAGTTGCCCAGCAACGATGGGATGGACGTCTGTGTTTCAGACATGTTTGCTCTGTTTGCCATGCTCCTGCTGCACCTCTAGCAAGCTAGCGATGGTCCTGGCACCTCACTTACTGCTTAGGAAGATGGTCTTATTCTTTTAGGACCTTCAACACATGCTGTCCTATCTTCAAGATTTCAGTGTCTCTTCCAGCACATTCTTTTGGTGGCAGATCTGCATGCAATAGTGGTTCTGTGCAAAGTTACTGATGGTGCCACAGGGAAAGCCATTCCTTGGTATCTCAGGGAATCTGAGTTTACAGTAGCCTGTTCTTGCCCATTGGAAAAAGACCAGGGCCTCTGGCCTTTTAGCTAAGGTCACCTCCAGGAGGTGGAAAGACAGAGAGGATGATGTTACAAGGAGGCAGTACCTTTGTTTTGTTACTTCACATTTCACTTCCCTGTTAATTTGTCTCTTCCTAGCAAAGGTGCCTACTTTTTGTGGCCTTTATTTATTTGTTGTTTTCTGCAAGTGTCCAGGCAGATGCAAGCAATGGTATGCATGCTGTGATGTGGCTCAGCCATGGCCCGTATCAGGGCCATTATTGCAGTGGCACACTCAATACCCTTATTTCCTGCTGTCAGGAACCCCCTTTCTTTCCAAATGGTATGCACAGATCCATCCTGCTAGATAGGCATGCCTTCACAAGTTTAGCATTGAGAGGCTTAAGATGTGTCATTTCTGTTTCGGTAGAACTGGCATGGCGCATTCCTGGAGGAGGAGGGACTGGGCAGGAAGGCAGCTTAGACCATCATGGCTTGGGTGGTGTCCCCACTGGGCAAAAGAGGAGGGATGCATAATGCACAGTTCTGGAAAAATACAGCCCTCATAAATATGTTGCTAACCCAAGGCCTAAATCCAAGTGCAATGAAAACCTTGTACACAATCCGGTAGGAGAAGTGGGGCAGACCGGGTCTGGCCATAGGGAAGGGAGGATCCTGCATTGCTTGCCCCAGCTCCCAGGAGGCTTTGTGTTCCTCACACAGCAGAATCTGTGACCATTTCCTTCCTTCCAATCTTGTTTGCAGAGCCTTTTAACCGGCCGTCTACGTTCACAGGCCTGGCAGCAGTTGGTGGCAATGCCTTCGGGGGACTTGGAAATCCTTCAGTTAGTGAGTACCTTTAACTTTTAAAAGTCTGCTTTGGATTGTTTATCTTCTCTAATCTGATATGGCTCAAGAGCTTTCTAGATCAAAGGAAACAAATTTAGGTTATGTCATAGCAAAATCAGTCATAATCAATGGAGTTAGGTAAAAGCGTGCAAAACCACCATTTTAAGGACAGCCCACTGTTGACATGTTACCGAGGGTCGGGGTGAGGGTGTGACGTAGTAGATCACTACAGAAAGTTTACTCATCCATAGCCTGTCTCTGCTATCCGGGACCTTGGCCACAACTCACAATATTTAAATTTCATCTCGCCTTTGCACTACTGGAATTGAAAAAGGCATGACCAATAATAGCAGGAAAACAATACCAGGCTTGGTGTAACGAAGAGTTGGTGGTGACATTTTCTTCTCCATAATCTGGGAGGACTGTGCAGTTCTAGTCTCTTTAGATTAGGAGAAGAGTTGTAACCCTGCTCATGTTCTGAACATTATTTAGTCACTGAATATGCAACTTGTTTTCTTTTAAGCCACATAACATGTATTCCTGGGATGGGAGACCTAAAATGTAACTGAGCATACCATCCCAATTCCATCTCTGTTTAAATTAGAGCAAGGAGACCAAGGAGAGCATCTGTGTAGGTCACGGCCCCGTCTGGTCTCTGATAATACTTGCTCTCGTTTGCTAAAGTTACAGAAAGAGTCCCAGGGCTGTGGTGGGTAGGTGGAGGAAACCGTGAGTTTCCTCTAAATTCAGAGTTATTATACAAAGTCACAGCATCGTCATATACCCTTCTGTATGCTTGAACTTCTGCATGCACCAGATTTGTTTAATGAGGTCATCTTGACACCTGTTTGGTCCCTTTCCTTTTTAGTCTCCCCTGCCCCATCTTTGCTTTTGGTTAAAAAAAAAAAAAAAGCTGTGAGCTACCTCTCCAGTGTAGGACAAGAGTTCCTCTAATGAATTTGTTAATCTCCTTTCCTTTTCCAGCTCCCAATAATATGTATTCATTTTAACTCTGAATGCTGTTAAAAGTTTTTTGGTAAGTACCTTCATTACAGCAGATTATATAATTTCTCTTAAACCTTTTTGTTCTCCACTTCACCATTTCAGCACCCAACTCAATGTTCGGCCACAAGGATGGCCCCAGTGTGCAGAACTTTAGCAACCCTCACGAACCCTGGAACCGGCTGCACCGAACGCCTCCGTCGTTCCCGACCCCTCCGCCCTGGCTGAAGCCAGGGGAGCTGGAGCGCAGCGCGTCCGCTGCAGCTCATGACAGAGATAGAGATGTAGATAAACGAGACTCATCTGTTAGTAAAGATGACAAAGAAAGGTACGGAAAGAAACCGCTCTCGAGTCCCAATGGGGGAGCCTGCTCTGCGCCAGGTACCAGTGGGACCGGCCGCCCTCCCTCCCTGTCCCAGCCTTGAGCTTCAGCCGCCCCGTAGCATCAGCTCGTCCCCATAGCCAGTGCCGGCAGCCCTCACGGTCCCGGAGCGAACACCTTGTGGCCCGGAGATAACTAGAGCATAGCGACAGATTCCTGTCTCAGAAGCAGGTACACATTTAGCACATCCATGTCCCTGTGAGCGTTAGTGTCTCCTAATAGAAATCTTTTCTCTAAAAGACAGTGAGTTGGAGCTTCGGGCCAGACACACACAGCATGAATCAACACCATATTTGCTTTCAAGTTCGTGCAGTCCATTAAATCATCCATAGGTTTTTCCTCTCTCTTTCCCTCGCTTTCTTTTTGTTTTCTTTTAGAAAGCCATGTTTGCATTACCTCATCATATTTTTCTCAAATTTTGTTCAGACTCCAAGCCTGGGGCTCCCAGATGACTAATGAAATTGTACTAACCCAGATTTAGAGAAGCATCAACAAGCATTTTTGGTTTTCATTTTGGTTTGCTTTTGCCAGTGGATAATGAATTTTATTACCCGTGGTTGTCTCTGTTCTTGGTAACCCATGCCTGAAAGAGAAGTAGCCTTAAAGAGGAAACATCTTAGTATTTTTTGTGGAAAATGTCATAAGCATTCTTGACAAAGTATCTCTTTTTTTCTTTCTTTCTTTAGGCTATTTTCAGTTTGAGTGAACTGATAAGCAGGCATGCACAAGATGGGCTTGACAGGAAATACCTAATAACAATATCCCAGGGCACTTAACTTTCAGATTTGATCCCAATCTTTAATTTAACTTTTCTGTGTATAGTGTGTGTGTGTTTGTATGTGTATATCCTAGGAACTTAAAATAATTCAACTTTACAGGCTCTAAATGTGGTAGATCAGTCATCATAGGCCATCGTGCTGACTGATTTCTTTCTTATAAAAGAAAAAGACAAGTTTTCCTTCTAGGCAGCATGATAAATCTCTTACCCAATGGGAGGGTTGTTAGTGACTTTCAGCTCTGAGCTGTAACTGCCAAAGTGGACAAACCCTAGAGCCCGAGCTCTCTTTAAACAGTCATCATCGCTGAGTATGATGCAGAATCTGGCCAGGAAACCCATCCACATTTTTCTTGATGGAATAAAAATGGCCTCTTGGATTAAAGTGAAGAAACTTTATAGATAAAGTATACTCTTCCATTCTTCCCTTGAAAGTTACTCTTCTTAGCCTATCCTCTACAGCCCTCTACAACTTGCTTGTAGGGGAACCCTCCTTAATTCTATCACTGTGGCCACCCTGGTCTTCTCATCCTGCCATTGCTCAGCCAGCATGGCGTCCTGCCCCCTCCTCACATTGGCCGTGTCTGCCTTCGGTCTGTCCCTAAGACTTCCCTGATTCTTAGTCTTAACTCTTCAAGTTTCACCTTATTGTCATTGTGTCATTTTGTACTTTCTGCCCACTACTCTTGAGCCCCCTCCAAGACAGCTCTCTAAAGGTCTTCAGATTTTCATTCACAGATGCTCTCCAAAATTGTTCTCAATTTCCTCCGTGAGGTTTCTGTTTATAGACCTGCTTTTCCTACTGCCTTTCCTCTGTCTTTTCATCAGATTTTGGTTTTCTTACCCTACCTAATGCAGAAGTGCTTTTTGCAACCCAGAAGTCCTGAAATTGTGGTTTCCTTTCAAGCCTCCCTCATATGCCACATCTGGGAGATTGGCATCAGCGTTATTTACTCTGAAATGGGTCATTTGTCCTTGTGAGGAGCCAATATGTACGTTAAACTCTTCTTTTCGCTGGCTCTGTGTTGCACGGCTGGAAGAAAAGTTGTCTTTGTGTTTGGGCTCTTGGAATGTTATTCCTAACACCAACTGACCCTGAGACTCTGACAGCTGGGCGGTCTTGCCACATCACTGCCTTATTGATCACGCTGGGCCATTCTGGCTTCCTGCAAAAGCTCTGCCTCTGTGATCTTGACTGGGGCTCTTACACGCAGAGAGAATCATTTCTCCCCTCAGACTGTCCCCTCACTTGCGTCCCTAGTGTGCCACTCCCATTAAGCTTCCTCTAAAATCTAGGTAAGTAAGGTCAGGGTGGCTGGCTTTGCCCTCCCCAGGGCTTGTCTGCTGCCTGGTGACCGAGGGAGCCAGACCCAAACCTGTCCTCCTCACACCGCCATTTCACCGGCAGCCCCCTGCCAGGCCGGCAAGCCCATTTCATTTGCGTCCTTGTTTCCCTCTTTTCTCCACAGGGAAAGCGTCGAGAAAAGACACTCCAGCCACCCTTCACCAGCACCTATCCTCCCGGTGAACGCCCTGGGACATAACCGCAGCTCCACGGAACAGATCAGGGGTCACTTGAACGCCGAGGCTCGTGAGAAAGACAAACCCAAAGAGCGGGAGAGAGACCACACGGAATCCCGCAAGGACCCGGCGGCCGACGAGCACAAGGCCAAGGAGGCGCACCTGCCGGAGAAGGACGCGCACGGCCGAGAGGGGCGGGCCGCGGGCGAAGAGGCCAAGCAGCTGGCCCGGGTGCCGTCCCCCTACGCGCGGACCCCCGTGGTGGAGAGCACCAGGCCCAACAGCACCTCGAGCCGGGAGGCTGAGCCGCGCAAGAGCGAGCCAGCCTACGAGAACCCCAAGAAGAGCTCAGAGGTCAAGGTGAAGGAGGAACGGAAGGAAGACCATGACCTGCCTCCGGAGGCACCACAGACCCACCGGTCTTCGGAGCCACCTCCTGCAAACTCCTCGTCCAGCGTGCATCCGGGGCCCTTGGCCTCGATGCCCATGACCGTGGGGGTGGCCGGCATTCACCCCATGAGCAGCATCACCAGCCTGGACAGGACTCGAATGGTGACCCCCTTCATGGGCATCAGTCCCATCCCGGGTGGAGAGCGCTTCCCGTACCCCTCTTTCCACTGGGACCCCATACGGGACCCCTTGAGGGATCCTTACCGAGAACTTGACATTCACCGGAGAGACCCGCTGGGCAGGGACTTTCTGCTAAGGAACGACCCGCTGCACCGTCTCTCGACTCCCCGGCTGTACGAAGCTGAGCGCTCCTTCCGGGACAGGGAGCCTCACGACTATAACCACCACCACCACCACCACCACCACCCTCTGTCTGTGGACCCTCGGCGGGAACACGAGCGAGGAGGCCACCTGGATGAGCGGGAGCGCTTGCACATGCTCCGAGAAGACTACGAGCACACGCGGCTCCACTCTGTCCACCCCGCCTCCCTGGACGGACACCTGCCCCACCCCGGCCTCATCACCCCGGGACTCCCCAGCATGCACTACCCCCGCATCAGCCCCACCGCGGGGCACCAGAACGGACTCCTCAACAAGACCCCCCCTGCGGCGGCGCTGAGCGCGCCTCCCCCGCTCATCTCCACGCTGGGGGGCCGCCCGGTCTCTCCCAGAAGGACGACTCCTCTGTCGGCAGAGATAAGGGAGAGGCCGCCTTCCCACACGCTGAAGGATATCGAAGCTCGGTAAGGCGCGAGTAGGCTCGGAAGGGAGGGAGGAGCCCTGCGCAAACCCGACGAGAGACTTGGGAGAGCCACAACTCCTGCACCGGGACGGACTGGGGCGAAGCCCCCACCTCTTCCCCTTGTAAAAATTGTATAGATCAGTGCAGATTTTGAAATGTTTTGTATATTATATGTTGAGATTTTTCAGATCTTTTAGCCAAGTCATATGTTCTCATGTCTTCTACTCTTTTTGTTTCTCGTATAAAACTTTTTGATTTGAACCAAAACTGAAGATGACAACACACACCAATTTGATGATAACTGGGGGGTGGGGGGAGTCCACACCATCCATCATGCAAAGCTCTTTCAGACGAGAAGGGAAGGCCGTGTACATAGTTCTGTAAAGAAAGATTGCTCATGAGCTAATGGTTCATATATGCAAAAGGGTAAGATGAAAGCTTTACTTTGTACAAATGTAAATAGATAAAGATTAAGTAACATAATACATTAATACTTCTTAAAATGTGCTATTTGCAAACTTAATATCAGTGAACACAGTCTGCTAAGGCTGTGTTCCCATATATTGTTATAGACAGCTAAACCCTTCAACTATGCAATGAATGTTAGGGCTTTTCACAAAAGCCCACCTAACTCAAAGGAGCCTTTTCAAATCCATTTACAACATACTTAAGGTCATATTTTCCCTGAACAAGCACTTACGTGATATGACTCTGTTTTCCTTGCTTGTTTTTTTTCAAACGGAGAAACATCCTATTTTGCAAATTGGACCCCAGGCTGGAACTTTGCATCTGAAGTTGCTGCTTGTGGGCTTTGGGGGAAAGTGCAGCCCTGGAAAGGTAACTGAGGACACAAACAACCAGTGCCAGGGAGGATGGGATTTGTCAGATGCCAGAATCAGGGGATGGGTGGTGGTGTCTGTCAGACACAAACAGGTCGCCAGAATCTTGTCACCATCAGTCACGTGACTTCACACACACCTCATGTGGGAACCATGCCTTTTTTAGTGTGTCCTGTTTCATATCTGTACACACTTCCTCGTTTTGTAATGAGATTGAATTACACCCAAACAGATCCTGAAAGAAAGCTTCAAGTTTTCTCAGATGATGGATATGTTTTCACGGTATTCAATAACTGATAACGTTAAGGTGCACATTTCCCAATGTGACTCACTGTATTCCAGTTGGTAATAAAGTCTGGGAATAGTTGTAACAGGTCAACCTGTGGAGCCATCGAGAGTTACAGAGGGTGAAAGGTGGCAGAGAAAAAGTCTTGTGTGTGCGTGCGTTTTTGAGTTTGCATCAATCTTAATGTCTCTTCATAATACTTTTATAATACATTAAGCCTCTTGTCTACATATTTGGAGAGAATATGACTTTACTAGCAGAGAAATACAATATATCTTGTCTACTGGACTGTAAAATATATGTATGAAATAAAATTAGTTCCATTTGGTCTTCTAGTATATTAAAGTGCTATCTGACGTTGTTATCCTGTTTTTGCAAAAAAAAAAAGTTAACTACAGACCATTGTTTCTAATAAGCAGAGAGATCTATTTTAGTAGTAAACTGAAGGTTTAGTTGTGAGCTTCAGATTTTGTGAACTCCAGATGTTGTGCAGTGTTTTTTTTTTTTTTAAAGACAACAGCTAAAAAGAAAAAAAAATCCAAGGAATATGTACACTGGAACTGTAGTGGTAGCTTTCAGTATTGTAAAGAGATTGTTCTATACAGACCTTTTTGCTGTTTATCCTGTATGTAATAAAGTCCTTTCTAGATCCTATGTGAAAAGAAAAGTGAAGCAACTGAATCTTCAGCATGTTCTCATCGGCGGAGCCTTCTTGTGTAATGTAAACTGTGCCATGTTATTAAAAAATGTGAACTAAGCTTCCAGCTGCTTGTCTGTGTGAGATGGCCATCATTACCTTAGGGAAGAAGCCATATGTGCAAGACCGGGCTCTTGAAAAGAAACACCTGGAACCCAGCCCATGTGAGAACAAGGCTCACCTGCGGTGGCTGGCCACACTACCTAACTCAGCAACCCACGGTTAGTTTCGGTATTCATTTGCGCCCCACACAGTCAGCTGTGGATTTTTTGTTTGTTTGTTTGGTATGTTCTAAACAAATCACTGTAAAAGTCATGGAAAGGTCCTTATGGATTTTGTAGATGGACGGACGCGTGGGCCACGTTAGTAAGTATCCTTTGAGTCTCTGGCCTACTTCGAAACTTAAGCACTTGCTTTAGCAGCGCTGACAGGAAATCTGATTTAGGGCCTGTGACTACGGTTTTCGCTTGTTTGTTCCTCTGCATTTCAATCTGTGGACTCAATCATATGTTACTTAAGACCTTCCAGATATTTTTTTCCTGTCTCAGCTTTCTCTGTGTCTTGTTGAATTACGTGGCATATTTCTCATCAGTTTGCAGACTTCTCCCTGTCCTCTAAAATCTGTTTTGTTTTGTTTTTTCAAGATGTAAAAAATTGTTAAATTTTCTTGTATCATTCTGATGAAATTGCTGTTTGGATGAGATCGTCTGGATTGGTGTTTGTATCTTCCTGGGCGGGGAGAGGCAGAAGCGGTCCAGGTTAGCAGGATTTGGGTGACTGCTGAGTGAACCAGAGATAGAATGAAGAGAAATCGGGGCTCTGGGTGTGACGGGAGAGACAAGGGCACTGGGGAAAAGACTCTGGGGTGGGGTCTTAGAGACTGACGCTAGCGATGGGCAGAGCAGTGACAGCTTGAGTGGCCTGCTTCCCTCAGCACTGAACGTGAATGCTGGCCCCAGCCTGGAGAAAATAACCAAGAAAAACTAGTGGACTGGAAAACATGCTACATACCATGATTTTCCAGTCAGGCAAATCCTCAGAACCTTCCAGACGCTGTCGGTGGCAGAACTCACTGCCTTCTATTGTACACCTATTTTGATGTCGCCATCTGCAATGTCGTAACGCAGGAGAGTCAAACTCTCAAATCAGTCACGGTATTTAATCCCTGGGGCTTTATTCATCTGAACCTCTGCATATTTTCCCCCTAATTACATTCAGCTCCTCGGCATTGATGGGCACCAGCACCAATTTGATTTCCTGCTAACCTATAGATGCTCTAATTATCTCCACAATCTTTGACTGACAATGATCTTGTTACCTTCTAATGGTACATGACAAGGAAAATAGCGAATATAATGATGCAATAATTACCACTTGGGATGGGTGTTTCCACAGCATTTGCTGTTCATCCATTTTCTGCCTCAATCAAGGTGGATGAGAGGAAATAAGATGCGATTGTTGATGCTATATACATATGTAGCATAAAAAGAAATTTAAGACAGAATTTTGCAATGCAATTAGCCATGCGGTTGCAAGACACTCAAGGCCTTCTCTTGTGTTTGTACCCTTGCCTGAAAACGAATTAGGCCTCAGTGCATTAAATCAGTTGAAGGGACGAGGACAACAAAAGTGACAATATTAGAAGGAAAGGAAATTTCTAGTATATAAAAGGGGCATGAGCTTTTTCATACACTGTCTTTTAAACTGCCATCATTTGAGGCATTTCTGAAAATTTCTTAAACATGGAAAGTTTTCTTTCAAAAGAACAGTGTTTCTTTATCAGAAAATTATACTATCCAAGGCTGTCAATTCCATGGTATAAAATTGTTGGTCTTCCTTTACCACTATCACATGCACAAAGCCAAGGTTTTAGTATCTCGTACCCAAAATGCTAGAATTTTCCAACAAGGAGCTTGGTGAGAAGGAGCCATTGGGCCAGCAGTCACAAGGTCTGGGTCCACCCAGACCTTTCAAGATCAGTGACCCTGAGCAAACACAGAGTCTCTCTGGAACTCAGTTTATGTGTAAGATGAGACAATCTGAACAAAATGAGGCCTAAAGACATGAAATTTGTAAGCCCAATGTGCGCACATGCAATTGTGTTGCATATGGTCCCAGAGTTTATAGGAATTGTAGATTGGGTAGAGAATAGCCCACACAAAGGGGAATTTTTTTTTTTTTTAAACTCAGTCCCAGTTACAGTGTCTTGAAGATCCTTGCTAAAGATATGCTGAAATGTTTGCCAAGACCAAAGGGAGTGGGTCAGTGATTCCAGGGCTTCTAACTCAAGAGGTTTCTCACCTGGGGAAGAAGGAGTGAATTAGGGCAGCCCCTGGTTAAGGGAGGCTCCCAGGGTATTGTCACAGCGCCTCCACCTGTGTCCTACACAGAATGTTTACTGACTTCCTGACGCACACAGGTGAAGTTAAGCCTCTGAGCCAGTGTTTGGAGATGCCGATGCGGCCTGGAAGAACACTGGACGGAGCCTGCAAAGCCTGTATTGTGTTCTAGGCAGGTATTGAGCAAATAGGCTTCGGTTTCCTCGTCAGCAACTTGAATTCGCTGGCTGATATTGAAAGGCCTCTTCAAAGCTTTGGATTTTGTGTCTATGCTGGGCCTCAGATTCGTTTTTAAACCTGGTTTACCTTGCACACCCTGTGCTCCAGCCAGGCAAGTTGAATTCCACGTGCTTCCCAGCAGCCTCTCCTCACCACGTGTCTGCAGGAGCTCTTCCCTCTTTCCAGCAGTCCTGTATCAGAATCTGAGCTGCTCTACAAGGTCAAGCTCAAAGCCATCTCCAAAATCCCTCCCTCACTGGAACCCTCTGAGGCCTTGGCTTGTTCTCCCCCACCCTCCGCTCAGCCCCTCCTGTTCAGGGGTTTCACAGGGCCACGTATTTACTGGGGTGTCAGCTCAGAGCAGGGGGTTGAGTGGTGTGTGCCTGGCTGGGCTCAGTGCTAGAGGCTCCCCCAGGCTGGTTCAGTGAACGAAGGCTGCACAGAGCCCTGGCTTTGCCACCCTTGTCCCTGCGATCCACATGGTCACAAGTCAATACACACACACCTGAAACGACTTTAAGGAAACATACTCTCATGTGCAATGAGCTCCGATTTTTTTATTCCATTGTTTCTAGTTTTTTTAAATGCTGGTTGCAACCCACTTCCATCTCATGACCACTGTGAATCGTGGTTCTGGATTCCTGGTTTGAAAAAGAGTGTGACGTTAGAAATCCTGCCAGCTACAAAGGAGGGTGAGACTCAGCTAAGCTGAGGTCAAGGCTGTTTTCTGCCCCTACCTGGTCTCTTCGCTGAACCTCCCTTCACACTGCCTCCAGCTGTGACCACATCTCCCCCAGGTCCCCTGCCATCCTCTACTTAAAGAGGTCACCCAAGTGGACCAGTCTTTGGACCAGTACATGTCGTGCCTGGAGACCTGTCAGCTTCCTGTCCCATGTGCCATTCCCGGTAGATACTAGGCTCTCATGCACCTCTTCATCTGGAAAATATTCAAAGACCTCCACCTCCATGAAGCTTCCCCTGCCTGCGCCTTGTCCCCCATCATGGTTAACTGCTTAGACCAGTGGTTCTCAAAGTGTGGTCCCTGAGCCAGCAGCAGCAGCAGCACCAGGAAACCTATTAGAAACAGAAATTCTCGGCACCCCCTCCAGCCTCCTGAATACAAAACGCTGAGGGTAGGGCCCAGCCATTCGGGTTTGAACAAGCCCTCTGGGTGATGCCGATGCACAGTCAAGTTTGAGAACCGCTGGCTCAGACCAAGTATAAAGGTCAAAGGGAAAGTTCTGGCCAAAAGTTGCAAAAGATTTGTCAGGGAACAGAAAGCTGTTCTCTGACTGTCCGGCCTGATCCTTGGTCCTGCTAGATCGTAAAGAGGTGGTGACCTTGTGTGCCTGCATCCAGGTCTGTCTGGACTCCCTTCTGTGGTATCACTGCTAGTTCCTACATGGCTAGCAGTAGGAAGGGAGCGGAGGCGTTGACCCGTCCCCAGCAATGACGACGGGAGCCAGTGTTAATGGAGTGCTGTTCCCTGTCAAACACTTCTATGTGCTTCTAACTGTGCTTCCCCCGTAATGTTCTCAACAACCCTACAAGGTAGGTGTTGGTAACCCCGACTAGACAAGTGAGAAGAAATGAGGCACAAAAAGTTCGAGTAATTTGCCCGTGTCTGTGAGCATGAACTAGATCAGGAGTCCTCAAACTACATATATTCCCATTTGTTTTTTTTAAGAGACAGTCTGGAGCAGGGGTCCTCCAACTATGGCCCGTGGGCCACATGCAGCCCACCTAGGACATTTATCTGGCCCAGAGGGTGTTTGTGCCGCTGCCTGTCCTGCTTAGCAGCTGACTTGTCCCGGGCCCACAGTGCGCATGTGTGGAATGTGCTCTGCACTCTCCAACGGCCCTACAGCAGTCTGAGGGACAGTGAACTGGCCCCGTTTAAAAAGTTTGAGGACCCCTGATAGGCGCAGACCCGGCAGTTGCCCTCTTGAACCTGTACCGTGCCCATCACCCATGCTGCTGCAGAGAGGCTCGCTGAGTCGACGCGGAAACAGCAGTCATTTACCCACTTAACACACACTGGGAATGAGCCCCTGCCTGAAATGAATGAATGAAGGCAGGAAACAGAGTTGTGCATGGCCCACTGTGAGACGGTGCCACGAACCAAGGATTATGAAGAATTCACGTCTATACATCTAAGATTGATTTAAAAATATATACACCGTGGCTTGTGCAGTCCAAAGCAACCCAAAAACATGTTTTTTGGGGGATGGAGGGCAGGCAGAGTGTTTTAAAACACATTTTATGCAGGCAAACCCACTGGGCCCACGTTCCCCAGGGGCCCCGTGCCCTCCCGGTCCCACACAGCACCCTCCACACGGTTCCCTCACGTGCTGGGCGGACGTCTGTGAGCAGGCGAGTGTGCGACGGGGGCACCTGCAAACAGTTAATGTGGAAGTTCTTGAAATCAAAGTCTTCTCGTGTCCAATTATTAAAGAAGAACTATCATAGACGTTCAACACGATCGATTGACAGTCGTTGGAAACCATA